TTTATTAAAACTCGCCCCAGCTTCAACGCTAATTGTCTGATTATAAACGCCTTCTTCCCTTAGGTTATTCTTCCTCGTTGTCCTAATTGTTTCTATGTTATCGTTCGAAATTAATCCCTTTGTGTCCTACTCCACTCCTTATCACGTATATTTATCACAGGGTATTGAGCAGATCACAATCAAAGCTTTCTAGTTAAGATATCACTGCAGATAAAAACATTAGGGCAGTTTCAAGTTGTACACAAGCGCTGTAAAGTGTCATAACCTCGCACTCTTCGGCTTATTGTAATTTAGACCTCACCTATTTGCATACAGTCGTCATCGTTGGAAACGCTGAAAAGAAGGTAAGGTTTTTTCTTTACTTCTTAACGTTAACTTTCAGATGATCTTTAAGTTTTGAGATGAATAATTCCGATTAAGCGAGAATAATTCTGCATAAATCATTATTTTATTTATGTTTTGTTTCTGTTTGGCAATGGTTCAACCGCGAATGGTCACTGTTTTCGAAACAGCAACAGGAAAATATATCAAAAGTTCCAGGTGTAGCGAACATGTTTTTTTTTTCTTATTCACGAAGGGTAAAAAGATAATGTCTTTGTTTTTTTTAATGATCGCCGCCGCAATCCTTTCACAATTTTTTTCGCACGTTTCCTAAGTATATGTAACTTTAAACCGTTAAACAAATTGTGTATTTAAGCAACCGGAGAAAAAAAAATTGCTTTTTCCGATTCTTTCAACTATCTCACAATAATGTTCCTTTGAGAAATTTATAGATAAAGCACAAAATTCTGGGGCTTTCCCCAAGGTGAAAGAGTAGGACTCTGGTTCGAGGAAAATCACTAAAACGTAGAAGGAAGCCAGTCATTGAACTAAAGTTCGAACGAGCCTTCTATACAGCGTATTTTTCAGGTGTTCCCTCCCTTTGATCCAAACTTAGTCTCGAATAATGTTTATCGACTGGGTCCCAGGTACACTTTTTCAAAATTTAAATAGACTTAAGTTTCTGGGTAGGATCTGATGGAGGAAACACCTGCTGATCATATTTACATAAGTACAGAAAACGGATTAGAGGTCCTGAATTTACATTAAAAAATTGCCAAAACAATAAAGAGATCCTCAGTTGAAGTGAGGAGTTACGTTTGAGATCTCGGAATGAAAAAGCCATTTTACGCGTGCCAAAAACCACTTGGTAAAGGCTAAATTTCAGCCTCATACGCCGAAAGAAAGGAAGAAAGTAGGTAAAAACGTCAATTCTGTGTCCTAGTTTCTAGTCTCAAAAGCTCAAAATAAATTTTGCCAAAAGCTCGGGAGTTGAGACTTGCGCTCCAAACAGAAGACTTGTGTCGTTTCGTCATCCGTTGCCCTAAGAGAGTGCTTATTCAATTCGTTGACAAATTGGCGCTCAATTAATGAGATCATCGTAAAAACCTATTTCTTCCTGTGTTTATATAAGGAAACAAACTAGTAGGATACAGACGTACGCTTTCAAGACTAAGAAATAAATTTGAGCAACTTACTCCGAGAGCTCCCCACAGTTCGCTAACACCGATTCTTTTCTTTTCCTTTTTTTTTTTTTTTTTTTTTTTTTTCTTACTGACTTTTTTAATTTTTTTTTGGACTCGGTCGACGGACTTCGCCGAAACGGAAGGACTACTCGTAGTCTAGTTATCAGATCTCAGGTGACTAAACTTCGAAAGTAAAACATGAAAGTAGTGGTCACTTATTTTGGAGTGTACCAACCATCCTAATCCCCATCCTTCCATAGCCCAACGTGATATAATGCTATACAAATAAATTAACAAAAAACTATCTACACTGCACTCTGTTCATGAAGAACAGCACGACACTTGCTGATAATTAAGCGGGGAGCAACAATTATTCCACTTGATTGATTGAACGTCCGCTATTCAAATATACGAAAAGTGCGCATTAATGGCTAGGCTGGTGATTACATTTCTTTGTGCGTTACTGTCAGTAGCAATAATGCTCAAAATTCAAAAGGGGCGTGCTCGAATTTGAAATAAGGGAAACAATAGTGTTGTTTTGCTGGCGTTAAACATTCACCTCTTCGTCATTTAAACCACATGCTATCAGAACGAAGCAACAAGAGTGCCACTTTACGGACGTGGTGAGTGACTGCATTATTTCTATCGACTTTTCAATGCTTTCGTTCACGCGCTATCAAACTTCACCGACCACCGCAACATGTGCAGGTTTCAGTTGTGTTTAGCTTTTCTCGCATGCACTAGTCAGACTTTCCGGTGCCAGATTTATGCGAGTGCACATGGTTGACTTTCGGGAACAACCAAAGGAAGATAACTAAAGAGTTCTAAGATTCAGTTTCCAAACTAAGGCCTATCAAAATACTGCGCTGGTCACTTCTCTATCTTAAAACTTCTCACCGTTACGAAGCGGAAAAACAATATTTCAATATTTTTTTGGAATCTCAAAGAAAATTAATCCTTTCGAAGCCACGTTGTCAGCCACAAATCAGAGTCAGAATTTAATGACAATTTTGTCTATTGGTTATTTTAGGAACGATGCAGTGATCCCGTTTTAATTCGAACATATAAACTAGGGATTGGAAAGTGATTACAGAAATCTGGCCACAAAGACATGTGCTCAAATAGTTCTTTCATGATTGCCTTCTTCCTTAAAGAGACCAAGTCAAAACCTTTTAAAAAATTTTACAAAGAACTTTCTTAATCACAAAGGAATGGAATTTGTATCACAAGCAAAAAGATATTTCCAGCCCCCATGCAGAAGACTACCTATGCCACGATGACATTTTTATCTCTTAGATTTTTTGTTTCGTTTTATTTATTATCTTTTTGTTGTAATCATGCTGTGTTTCAAAATAGCAAAAACAAGTTTATTTGCTACAACAAGAGGGTCCTCAAAGGTGTCTTACAACAGACAATGCGAGATGCATCAACTGAAAGAGTCTTAGACTTTTATGATTACTCACTGAAAATATTCGAAAACTCACCTGTTCACCCTCACAATTGTTGTCTTATTATGTGCAAACGGACTCTAATTAAGAATTGAAAAGAGGCGCTCTTGGTAAGAATAAAGCAATGTTTACATAATCTTAACGTAATCTTTGCATTCTTTAAGCAGCATGTAGTTTCTACAGTTACCATACTTTTACAATTATCCCCGAGGATTTTTTTTTCTGAAAAACACATCTAATATCAGGGGGTGTTCATTCTCTGTTAAAGATAGCTCCCTGACTTAGTATTTTTCGATTGATGATACCTCGTCCTGAAGAAAACACAACGATCGTGGCTCAAGTATAAAACGTCTTGAGCTTGATACCGCCTTTTCAAAAGCAAAAGTAAGACCCACTACATTCTAATGATTTTGCGTGGTTTAGGGAGGCTCCATAGGGCTTTTTGACCGCGCGAGATCTGAGTGCGAACATAGCACGAGCTCTGTAAGAGTCAACATGCAAAATAAACATGGCAGCTCGATACGATCGCACTATTGTTATCTGGAAAGGTGAGTCAAAAACAGTTTAACACAATGCAGTTTTTATGTGATGGAATCTAGGTTTCCAGCGACTGGACCCGTAGTATTCATAGGCCTTGTAAGCTAGAAAAGAGGTCAACCGAAAAGAAAACAACATGGGAAAGATTACCAAAAGGCGACAGATTAGAAAGTCTACGCATGCTCAGATACCGTTCTTGACGATGCTCTCTTCCATTACGTAACGTTTTGCGACACAGAAAATAGAGATCTTTCGGGTACGATTTATAGCGTTTCCTTCGGTGCAAATTTCCTAAGATTTGCTGGACCTTTCAACGTATTTGTGCCCTTCCTAGTGTCTGTCAAAAGAAAAAAATCTTTAAGACCAAATAAGAAGAAATTCAAAGGCATAGCCAAAATACCACTAGCGAGCGCCTTCCTTTGTGGAGCAAATATTATTATTTTGATAATATTTAATACAGAAAACGATAGTCCGAACCTTGCTCATTGCCTTTTGATGGCTTTTATTGACCCTGAAAAGCTAAACATAGAAATTTTCTAGAAAAAACACCACGCTCGCGCGCGCCCCAACATTGTGCTACAATCCTATGGGACCTCCTTCAGGCGAAAGATATTTCATAACTGACATGAGCTAAAACGAAAGTGAAAACAAAGGACAAAAATCGTTTAAAATTTATCAACAGGTGACCACCAATTTACTGCATTTTGATATCATTGGTGACCAATCAAGTTGACGGGTCTTCCAGTTCATGATTTTATCGAGAACACGACGTATTACAAGCTTTAAAAAGTTTAAGCGCACAATTCTTCAATTAATCCTCTCTCTGAAGAATTAATCGCAAAAATTCCATCGAGAGCCTACTAAATTTTACAAAAAGTTTAAAAGTTGAGTTAACTGTCAAATTCCGTTGTCATAATTAGCCACCATTTGGGAATGATAAAGAAAACAAACTCAACCTTAGCTGTTGCAACATTTCCTTCTGAAACATTTAAAACCTGAACACTATGTTAAGCCCTGTTTTACAGGCCATCATAATAGCGCTCCCAATTGTTCGCAGTTCGCGAGGTTACTCGATTTTAATCACCGGAATGAGAAAAGCACGAGTTCAAATTATTCATTTGCGCTTCAGTGCAAACTAAAAATCAATTATTCATTTTGCTTGCTGGCAGCCAATCGAAGTGAGAGAATTTCATGCATTTTCATGATAAACAGCAGTAATATCAATATCCATTAGAATGGAAAAGAAAGATGCTCGGTGAATTTCATGAGAACAATTTTCGTTTCTTTGTCTAGTTCTTATGAGAGTTTACGGTTCTAGCTGTAACATGTAATGCATGGAAATAAAAATAGCTTTATTTCAAGTGCGATTGAAAATTCGCGTTTACGCGCCGCTGCTTCATTAATGGCACTCAATCATCTAGGTCGTAAATTCCGGTCAGCGCTAATTCTGACAGGTGTTGTTTTATTTGAGGCCGTGATGTCAATCTCCAGGTGAAATGAGACACAGAATTCCGTTCATCAGTTCATGCTCATTTGAAAGCGTCCCTCACCTATACGGAAAAAAAACGTCGTGTTTAGAGGTTAGAAAGTTCAGCACAGGCTCTGAAGTTTAGAAAATAGTGGGTTTGATGAGGAGATATTAACTTCTTCAATTGAAGACTTGTAGGACACTTTAAAGCATTAATTACGGTGCATTAATATGCTTGGTACTGTTTACTACACTTTAAATAAAGAAAATTGCGAGGAAATTGTCGAACAATTCAGTTCTCAACCAGTCTACAGTCTAGAGAATTTTACTGATCTAGACTTCCAAAAGTCTTCTATGGGACGAGAATATCTCCCTCGTAAATTAATTTGACATACAAGAAAGGCGCCAGAAATTTCAATTCGTTGTCTGATAGCGCAGTTTAACCAAATAGCCATTTTTTAGGAAAATGATAGGTAGTTCTTATCGTGTGCACACTGCTCTTCTTTTCGTCAAACGATTGTTAACTTGCCTTAATGAAGTGAAATCAATTACGCAAGAAAACATCGTCGATAACAAACGCCCTAATATTCAAATTGACATATTCTGACAGGTTTAAATCTAAGAGGTGCTTTCGTGGACTGTTATCGAGCAGGTCCTTGATGTTAAGTGAGTGCTCTCTATTTGCTTTGAGTAGCAGATACGAACCTGCTAATCCGTTCTTCTGACTCACCAATTCTCGACTCCCTTTCGGAGCAGTATTCTCATTTTGAACATCTATTCCCTCTCATCTCCAATATAATTGAGTTCAAAACTTTCTCAAATTTTTTAACTCAACCACATAATTGACTCTCAGTGACTAACTGAGCGCAAAAAGGGCGTCTTTTAACCATTTTTTTTCTCCTAGTGATAATGAGTAATTCTATCGGGGTATATTTAGCTTGCGTATCTCCTATCAAAGTTCCGCTGCTTGCTTTTGAAAAGGTCGTTTTTATCCTCAACAAGCCCCAAGAAAAAATGCCAGCCATTGAGGCTTGAGTACACCTACGATATAGGACTGATTTGAAAATTACAGGTTGCAACGATCATAAAAACTAGCCGATTTTGGTGATTTTTCAAGGCTTTAATGCTTGCATTAAGATTCGAAACTAGAAATTAGAGGAATGAGGCAAAAGTCACATTTGCAAAGATGTTGCACAGCGAAAGGCCAAACTGAGAGAAATTGTTCTTGTCTCAAAGGTTTTAAGGAGGATGACTTGAGGAGAGGATATTGAGAGGGTATTATTAATATTATTGATATTACTCATATTATCGCTATCATCGATATCATCATCGATATTATTGATATTAGTATCATTTTCATTATCATCATCATCATCATCATCATTATCACCATTATTCTTATTATTATTATTGCTGTTATTATTATTATTATTGCTGTTATTATCGCGTTACTTAGCGGCAGTAGAAAGTGTTCCCACCAAATTGTTAAAAACACAACTTACCTCATCTGTCTGACCATTAGTTGAGGACTCGGCCAGCCTTTGTTAGTCAATTTTCGATAGACAACAACTCGTCATGAGACATTTTCCGTTCAAACTGAAACAATTGGATTAAGAAAAGAACGTCAGTTAAGTTTGACTTCGATTGAAATACCGGTGTTGTATTTTCGTAAGACTAACGTCTTCAATAGTAAATGGATGTCCGAGTAAAATAAAGAGAGAAACATCACAGCCGAATGAAAATATTTTGGATGTCAGTCCAATTTGATAGCTACAAAGAAATCAAATGGCAACTTCTGTGAAAAGTGATAGAACGATTTTATTAGCAATAACCAAAGGTGACATATTTAAATAATGATTTTCGACGATGATGTTCCACAAACGGAATTTCAACAACTGATTTCGTTTGCACGAAAATGCAGCTGGTAACATAGAATTTTAACAAATATTTAGCAGCAATATTCTCTTGAACTCTCCTTTTATAGGTTCAGCTTTTTCTTTCTTGCCTCGCGTATTTAATTGCTTAGCTATCTAAAAGGTAGAATATTTTCAATATCAGTATTATGTCCTAAATAATTTTCTTCCCTATGTAAAAAGTAAATGTCCCAGATGGCTGTTTTATTTATCAAAACAGTTTACTCCTTTGCCAAGTTTGAGCCGCTTGAGATAAAGAATAAATGCGAATGCCCTGTCTTGGTGGTAAACGATTTAATAATTTGAAACTTCCTATTTGTTTAAGTTTTTTTTCATTATTTTTCTCCGACGCAATTTTCTCCTGCGGCTTTAATGATTTCAGCTTTTCACTTTCTACTGATTATATTTAGTTTCTATGTTTGGTAATAAGTTATGCTAAACACCCTTTCTTTGACAAGAGCGCATGTAACAACATACGATTGAAGGTATGACTTTCCTTGAGGGATGACAGCTTTGCAAAGTTGCGCATCGCCAACTTAAAATACCAGGTAAAATCATTGCAAATTTTGTTCCAACAAGAGAATGTAAACTGTTTATATTCCCTTGATTCTAAAATACTTCATCACCAGTAATCAATTTTAGAAACATTAAAAGCACTGTTACTATTTTTTTGTCTTAATTTTTTAGACTGTGCATACTACAAGATCATTATGTTCAAGTTCCTCCAAGAATTATCGATATGGCTTTTGACCCATGTATTTCTCGCTACAATTGGTGGTTCTTCTCAAGACCTTACCGGTAAGTTTTCCATTTGGGATTATGGTAGGTTTTACAAAGGAAATGCGTGAAATTAATTTCCTTTCTTATATCCAAGACAACATCTTGCCAATCATTTTTCTTACTGATTTTCCTCACGTCAGTTGTAAGTGATAAATTGTCTCCCTCTTCCATTACTTGTATTTCCTTCCAAATTCAAGGTTGTAGACGTTACTGTTTCTCTCAGTGTTTGCCATCGCGAAGATTATTCAAATTCGCAATCAGTGTTAACCATTAGCAAAAATAAACAAAATGATTTGTTCATCTTCAAATATCGAAAAATCCCCGGCATTTCACATATTCCCTCTTTTTAAATTTCAGTCCTCCAAAACCTTCATTATAAAGTATCTTTTTATCGTTTTTATTGTTGGGATATACAGAAAGTAAAATTTAGGCCAATGACATACTAAATCAACGAAAGGAAATACATCCAATTCAATTTAAAACGTCCAAGTAAAGGATATCTTCCTTGTATCCCGATCTGCAATAATGAAGGAGTAAAAAGCGCATTTGATATCAGGCTTGAGAATATATGATACTTGTTGATAATATTTCACAGATTGTCTTTTGACCGGTGTTTTCCGCCTACACTCTCCCTTTCCTTGGCATAGAATCGCTAACTACGACGTTTAATCTGCGGCTTTGTTAAATGCAGCTGCAAGTTCAATCATGTAAATGACCGAAATTCTCTTTTTATAAGATTTCATAAGTAAGCATTCAGAAAGCGTCTAAATTTTTTTTTTTCTTTTCTTGGTTTCACCAACTTTATCATCCGCCTATGGTTGAGCATAACCTCACTGCCGGTAAGAGTTAATTGAAAAGAGGGCAATTGCAGACCTTTGGCTCAGAACTCGCAAATGTGAAATTTCCATGCGTTATTGGCAATTTGCGGGCAATTGAGGACTTTTATGATGAAAAGACTGTTTAAAGTCACTCTCCGAATACTCCACTAGGAATCAATTTCATAGAGATCTTTGTTAACAATTTTTTTCATAGAAATATAGAATAAAGGGTATCAATTTGAAATTAAAGCGTTTTTTTCAAGTGGCCGCTGTTTTATTGACATGAATCTAACTTGGGTTTCTATGACAACAAACATTAACGAGGGAGATGGTAAACCACACGTTGAACTTTTCTCGAAAACGTTTGATCATTAATTATGATCTCATGCCGTAAAAAAATAACTGTATCTCTGTGTCCTGATTTAAGCTGTGGCACTGCTGTGAATCTGATTCGGTGTTTTTGCGCAATCAAATTTCTTCAGGTAATTGAATGTCATGGTTAGTTATCAGGGTGACATTGAGCTTCCAAGCAATAACTGGAATGTGACCTCACTTAGGCTTGTCTTTAACTCATGATAACAAGTCGACAAAAACCTCGAATGTTGAGCGTAGGATCTGCTTTAAACTTAACTTATTTTACATCTTATAAAAAAGTTCCAGCATCAACACTTTGCCTATCTTCCTTCATCTACCTTTTTCTTTTCTTTTTTCTTTTCTTTTTTTTTTTTTTGTCCGTAGTATTTCACTTTGTCTTTCTTTCTTTTTTTTCTTCTTTCTTTCAAGTGTACAACGACCTAACGTTAAAACTGGTCCTTTCTAAATTTTCTAAAGATTTAATTTTAAAGGGTTATGTGTGGTTGAGTGGTTAAGATCTTTACCGCAGCCTGACAACCACTGAGTGAGGATCTCCTGTTAAAGCGTTAAAACTTGTGAACATATTTTACTTAAATAAAATCATATTTGAACACCTCTTTTGCTTCCAGGGAATTGCTCTTTTGATCAAAAAACGTTGTGCAACTGGCGGAATGAAAGAGGCATGGATCATTTTGATTGGCTACTCCGGCAAGGGGCTACTCCTAGTCTTAACACAGGACCTAGCAAAGACCATTCAGGTAGATAATTGAAAGAGCCTCCAAATCAATTTTTTTGTTGTTGTGGATGTTGTTTTTTTGTTTTGTTTTTTTTTTTCAATATCATGAAACAAAAATACGATCGTGACACCATTCAAATCTGTGACCAGACCGCTCTTTCAGAGGAGACGCTGGATAACCGATTGACGTCGGATGCCTATATGTAAAGTTAACGGTCAAACTAAATTTTTGTTTTCAGGAAATGGCTCGTACATTTACATCGAAACGTCACTTCCACGTAGATATCACGAGAGGGCCAAGTTATACAGTCCTTGGATGAGAGGCAACCAGCGGTTAACGTTTTTCTACTCCATGTACGGCAGCGCCGTTGAGACTCTGTCTGTCTATGTTAGAGATCAGGCGGGAAAAGAATTTAGGGTATGGAGCAGTCACGGAGGAAAACTTTCCAGCAGCTGGACTGAGGGCTGTACGACCTTGAATTACACCGGAAGCTACCAGGTAGCGAGGCAAATCTCAGTCAATACACTATACCATGCACTATGGGAAAAAATATCCTCGAAGATCAAAGATAATTTATTTTTGGAGTGCTGTTGCATGTTATTTGACCATCCCATTTATAGTCACCTATGAGCCCCAATTTTTGCTTTACCACTTCGTAACAAATCATTCGTATAAGCATCAAGAAATATAAATGTCTTAATCTGTTTCCTTGTTCTACTGACTCGCTAAATAAACCAGTCAATCACTCTTGTAAATCGTTGCTCTGACAATGCTTACATCATTTCTTTTCAGGTCGTAATTGAGGGTATGGCAGGCGCAAGTTTCACAGCTGATATTGCCATTGATGATATTAGTTTCAGCACAAATTTAACGTGCGTCTCTCCTGAGAATATAATGCCAGCTGGGGCATTTCAAGGTACAGTTAGAAGATAAATGTTCTTACAACTGGAGAAAGCGAATATTTTTTAGCAAATTTATATCTACGGAGGGAATTAGTTTACCTTTAGTAGACAAAATACCTTTGTTTTCAAAGCATCAGGTATATACGGGGGTTAGCACGGAGGTTAGCACTTAGGACTTCGGGGAGCAAGCCCCGGGCCGACTGCAATATTATATCGTGGTTCGGCCAAGAGACATAATCTCGTAGCATTAATATGTGTTTCGGCAAGTTGTCGGAGAACTTAACGAATTTATGAGGCAGGTGAGTATGTAGTTCCCCTACTTAAGCAGTAATAAGCTTGGGAATGATGGACCTTGGTACGGACCCTTTTCCTCGTAAGCTGATTCTATCGCATTGACTATGAAGGAAAAAGATATACTAACAGTATGTCAGTGAAGCCTGAAAAAATCAAGACGCTTGACCTGCGTTTGAATAGAATTCCATACAAAGAGAGTGAAGCCACTTGCAGTCGCTTCAATAGGCCTTATTGGTGTAAGTCACACGGCAAGATGTAACCGTTCTTAATTTCTGGCTATGCAAATAATGTTCCATTTTATTGTTTAGTGAATTTCTCCGTTCCACTTAACCGTTTGAAATTCTAGTGAACTGTACTTTTGATGAGGGTTTCTGCGGATGGCGCAACTTGAATTTCACCGGAGACCAAATGGATTGGGTACTAAGAAGACATGGAACACCAAGCCAAGGGACTGGACCGACCGAAGACCACACAGGTTGGTACTTGATCGCAAACGATTTCTAGTGAAGGTAAAAAAGCCGCTTATGTCTCATTACTGTGTTCTCTGAATCAGCACGCGTTTATTCGCCTGATTACATGATTTTTATGCGCAGTAGAGGATGCGCAGTTCAATACTGAGGAATAAACTTAAGTTTAAAGCTAAGCAAAGCGTTTCTGTTGTAACTAAACTACAGTGATTTCCTTCACTTTCTTTTCGTTACTTTTTTTCTTCGCCGGTCGCGTTCTTGTCTAGCAGAGCATGGATCATAATAGCTGCTTATCAATAATTATTCGCACATATCTTTACAGGAGGTGGAAAATATATCCACATCGAAGCGTCACGCCCGGCAAAACAACATCAGTTTGCAGAACTGCTGAGTCCGTTCATCTGGGGACCAAAATGTTTACACTTCTTTTATCACATGTATGGATTACATATGGGAAGACTTGAAGTATTTGTGAGGGCTGCAGGTCAACCACAAAGTTACCTGACTTGGCAAAGGACTGGAAACCAAGGCAACCAGTGGAGAAAGGCCGTTGTCGATATACCTAATGTGGACGAGTTTCAGGTAGGATTTATCTTATCGATTCCATAGGGTGACGAACTCCGGCGTAATGAGTCTGTCAACAAAGATTCTTTCCTCTGGCACCTTACATCCCACGGCCTCCTCTTCCCTAGAAAGCACTCGATAATCCTGGATAAGTTTGTGATACCCATCCACGGAGCCTAAGAAGAAAAAACATAGACCAGAATCCGACTGAGGTCAACCCAAATTTTCCTACAATCTGGGCCGGGTTGTTAGAAAGTAAGTAAGTTAGATATCGGAGCTAAAACTTCGAATTGGAAGCGAACTAGAAGAAAAGAAAGAAGTATTGAAAGGGCAATAAATTTGCAAACTGGAGAATTTCTTCCGAAATATAAAGAAATACATATATCGTACCGACGTTTCCAAGCCTATTTCAATGTTTACGAAAGTGCTGATGTTCTGAGCTTTAGCGTAGAAATGATTGTTTGCGGGAGTTCTCGCAGAAACAAGTGTCCAGACAATTTTAAATAATAATTACACCGAAGAAAGTAAAATACCAATAAGTATAAATTGCAATGGTTTACGCGGCGAAAAATTTCAGGAATATCAATGACAAAATTTTTGCAGGTAGCGCTACGAGGAGTCGTTGGCCCTAGTTACCAGGGGGACGTGGCAGTCGATGATGTGATATTGACGGATGGAACGTGTGCAAATCGTACCGAAACGTCAGGCGAACAGTTAGGTATTTTACAACAATAACTGCACGTTACAGCTGTACTTTACTACTGTTTCGTAATATCATGTGGCCCTACTTAGTTGACTTCTTTGGTGAATTTCAATGGTAGCTTTGAGCATTCACATCATATTTTCATAATTTTTCGATTACAGACATTGTTCTCCATAATGCCCTCTTGTGCATTTGATTATCAATTGAGGTCAAACTGATGCCAAAATAGTGAAATAAGGAAGATTTCATTTTCTTAATTAAGTATTGTTGTTCCTTTTGTTTGTTTTTTAGTTTTTAATTTTCTTCTCCACCTTTTAGTTCACCATTGGAAAAATGTATAATACAAACATTTACCGCGATTGATCTTTCTCTTCGTTCTCTTTCTAGGAAATTGCAACTTTGATTCCCATTTTTGCTTTTGGAAGCCAGATACCAAGGCAGATTTTCAATGGTCAATCGGAAGATTTACTCCGAGTGTTAATACTGGGCCAAGAGCTGATCATACATCAGGTAAATTTCTTGTTAGGAGTTTACTTTGGACACACTAGAGAACTAGTTTGAGATGACATTATGTATAAATCTGTTAAATGAGAGGCAAAAAAACAGCTAAACGTCGAGGTAAAATAACATCTCGAGCTGCAATGCCCCTAATATGTCGAATATTGACATTTTGCCTGCTATTTTCATCACTTTTTTCCTACTCTATGTTTCTACTTCTACCGACTGACACATGTATCAGCTCACCTCGAACTGAGCTAAAGAACTATGCCAACACTGCTGTCTTGAGGCTACTATAGGTAACCCCATTATAAAAGTACACATTTCGAGGGTGAATGCGAACACAGACGGTAAATAATGAATTCGAAGAGGTTCCTGCTTGAAGAGAATATTGGAGGAAGTTCCTGACGAAGAAAAAGGGGTTTTGGGTGACAAGAGACAAAATGGATTTTGTACTTTAGAAACTGTATCTTTTTTATTATTTCTATTAGCTCTATTTCAATAGCACTTTACAGAAACTATGTTTGCTCCCCACGTGATCCCTTTTTTCGATTTTGAAACGTAAAGATTTTACAAGAAGACGAAAAGGAAACTATATCTGAGAGAATGATGTTGTAAAACGCGTCACGATGTCATCAGATGCTTTAACATCATCTTATTTCCAAAAATAGGATTTGGAAAGTTCCTTTATATCGAGGCTTCAGCTCCTAGAAGCCGTGGAGACACAGCGAGGCTTGAGAGTCCGTGGATGCTGGGACCACAGTGCATGACATTTTATTATCACATGTTTGGCTCCACCATGAGCTGTGTTGTTATCTACGTACGGAACCAAAATGAAAACAGGATTAAACCGGTTTGGCTTAAATCCGAGAATAAAGGAGATCAATGGATACGCGAGCAAATTAGTCTCAACGAGACAGGACAGTATAAAGTAGGTTATGTTGTTATGATTTTACATCCACGCAATATTAACTCTATAAAGATCGTGAACAATTCTTAATATTTTGCTTTTCTCTTGCTGCGTAAGTTTAAGGATTTTATACGACAAAATTTAGATTGACAATTACTTGTTGAATGTTTTTAAACAGTAAAGCTTCATTGATAAAAGTCATCGATATTAGTTTTCCGTCCAGTCTAACTTGTTAAATATTTCTTTATCAAACATAGTGAACCAATTCTCTACCATGATTGTCTCTATCGATGACCTACCCTGTTAGACTGATAGTTTTCAGAAGTGCCGGTAGGTACAGTTGTTTATCTCTTTGTAGGTAGTCATAGATGGTATCAGAGGCAGAAGTTACTCCGGAGATGCAGCACTTGACGACCTCACATTCCAAAGGGGAACTTGTTTCCAAAGAGGTACATCTCTCTTCCATCTAGATAATTCGCCACTTCAGTTTCGGTTTTGTACTTTTTGCATGGTCCTGTATGGTCATATTTTCTTTACTTACCTCTCTCATCTCCAGAATCAAACACCTTCTACGTTTCTTCGAACAAAGGCCGAAACTTTCGAATAGGTTTGCAGCCCTCCGACCACAGCCTTTACTCAGAGGAATTTCGATTCACTCTGGAAAAAGCACGGGGAAATGTGAAAGAGAAACCATACTTTATCTACCCTGCAGTGTTGAAGGAAAAAAGTTTCATCACACCAAAGTTGGATGTTGTTAATTACACAAGCTTTCCTCTGGATGTTGTCGTCCTAAGCAGTGGCACAACGATTAACGCTCGAAAGATTTACTTGATTGACAGAAGTCCGTACAGTCAGATGATAAGCCTCGATAATCACCGAAATGACAGTTGCTGTGGGAGAAAAACAGTATTATCTTTTTACGCTCTTAATGTTTCTAAACCAGGTGAGAATACAAAACAAAGTAACACTTGCAAAGTGTTTGTTTCTGCTCAAAATAGAATACATTAAAAACACCGTGGTTATAGAGATCATTCTTAAAGTTGTCTGCAAGAAAATCTAAGGGAAAGGAACCTTTTACATGAGGGGTGCTGACATAAATAAGAAACCATTATCTAATGATTAATGTTTCGGGCCTTATTTTTAGGCGGTAATATAACCTCTGGATGCGAACCCGGCTGGCACAGAGCCGGTACTTCCTGCTTTCTGTTCTATTTAAGCTCAACCTTTAAGTGGAGTGACGCACGAAGGCTTTGCCACCAATCCAACGCCGATCTTGCCGTTGCCAAGGACGCGTCCACGATGGACGCTTTAGCCAATAGGAGAAGAGAGCTAAAATTTGACACCCGCGGTGGAATTTATCTTGGATTGACCGGTCAATTCAATTGGGTCTGGATAGATGGACAGGTGGTTTCTAATAAGCATAATCTGTGGGGCCCGAGGGAGCCGAGTGGAGATGGAAAATGTGGGTCTTTCTTGAATGCTATAAGATGGTCTTCCAACTGGGTTGGTTATGGATGGCGCTGGAACGATCAATCGTGCAACAGTGTTAAAGGGTACATCTGTGAACAGCCATTCGGTATGGTTTCCAAAGATACGTAATTAAAATTTAGAAATTGATCTAGTAAAAATTATTTCAGTTGCTCAAACGGAAACTTCTTCCGCAGTTTGATACAAATTTTGAGTTATTTTCGCGTTGATTCAAAGTATTGTATTCCATTTAGAGATGATGCTTAAGAGCCTCGGGCTGCGAAATTTGTGGGGATATCTGCCTTTCTCCTCAAAACGAGGGTAATGGAGGGCTAACTAAGGAAAATTCCCCCCATAAACTATCCTGGATCAGAAATGATAGAGTAGCAAAGACATATAGAAAGATAGAGTAGCAAAGACATGTAGAAAAAATTAGTTCGAGGTAGAGTGTGCTTTGCGTAATTGTTCTGTTTCATTTATCATTGGCCTATAATACAAAAAAAAATGCTTCACCGACCGTGATAAACGTATTAAATACCATTATGTCTTGATGATCACGACAGTCGTTTTTTTGTGTGTTGTAAGATGTTCCTATGCCAGTGGCTTTCTTTCCTCTGAGAGGTGCTAATGGAACGGTAGACTTGAGTCCAAATGGAGCCACTGAAGCTAAGTCCTATGGCATTACGTTTGCACCTGGTCCTTTTGGAAATCCAAATGGCTCCTTCTTCTTCAGTGGTATGAATGACAGTTTCGTGCACCTCGAAAATAACGGAGAACTTGACACAAGGTTTTCTACTAGTATTTTTTCTTGGGTGTATCTCCAAAACTCCACCGGGTTTATTTACAAGTATGAAACAGCTTATGCATTTTTTACTTGCTCGCTGAAAGTGTTTCATCAATCACTTGGTGTTCGAGTGACATATATGGATAGGAAAACTTTAAAGGCATACTTTCTCTACAAGAGAAACATCTTGAAATTAAACAAATGGAACTTTATTGGAACGACATATGATTACCAAACAGGAATTGCAACTATTTTTGTCAATAATAGTGTTGTCACCCAAAGAGTTCTCAAAGTAAATATGGAACTAAGTACGGCTTCAGAGGTGCTGATTGGAGGTACAAACAGATGGAATAGGTTCTTTCGCGGCAGGATCTCCTGTTTACAAGTTTACAATCAGGCACTATCGATAGGGCAAATAGTCAAAGTCAAGACAAGGTGTAATAAAACTGGTGAGTTGTTGAATACTTTTACAAATCCTTGAGTAATGGTTTTTAAAATGTTTCTATTTCTTGAAAAGCCAAAATTTCCAGTTTTTCAGCTTTATATATCCACATGCCTTATGAACGAGCATTTTGTCAATTAAAAACAAATTCTTTTGTGAGCAAAAAGACCCAAACAACACTGAAACCCTGCACCAGTATTCTTCATAAGTACTCTTAAAAAATATTGATTTAGAGCTGTTCACAGACAGCTTTCGCTGACCAAAGGATTGACGCAGTTTAACTGATAACTACCAACTAGAAGAATTTATAGAGCCTCGGTCCCTTTTTAAAAACCCTACTCTCAACTTTTTGTTTCAGCACCATTTGCATGTGGTCCGAATTTCTTCCATTTCCAAGGCGGTTGCTTCTCTATTCACACCCAGAGCGCACTCACATGGAATTTCGCTCAAATAGAATGCAATCGAAAAGGTGGTACACTGGCCAAAGTATCACGGGAAGGCTTAAGGTCTGCTTTATCTAACAAGCTGGAAGGAATGAGACCAAAACCGGACAACTTGCATATTGGTTTCTTGGCGCGAGATGACTGGGTTTGGATTGATGGCAACCCGTTGAATGCCTCCCTGTGGATGCCTGGATATCCTTCTGGCTACCATGGAGTCCAGAGTTGTGCAGTTCTTTCGGCTATTTCATCAAGAATTAGGAACGTAGATTGCAAAACGTATAAGAATGCTCTGTGCTTCAAACGGTCCGGTATGTCCCACAATCTAAACCGTTAGTGAGATAGTTGGCATAAAATAGCCAATAGTCTGTTATCATGCTGACTTTTCAAGAAAACCTGATCTTAAAACACAACGAACATTACTTAAACCGATTTATGATACGTAATGAAACTTGAAGAGATATCCTCACTTTTTTTTTAAAGTATTTTTTACAATTGACTGGTATCCGCGAACATGTGTAATGACTTTTCCTATGATTCTTCAGCCACAAACATAATTAACTTTCATCATTACTTTTAAATCTCTCAGAAAATTCCTTTTCACGTCAAAATTTGCTCCAAAGCTCGAGTGTTCTGCTACCACATGAGCTTTCTCTGGCCATTGATAGATCCTTTTCTACATGCTTTAGGTCAAAAAAGGTAAGAGTTATTGTAATAGAATATATAGCCTATATGCACATATATATATATATATATATATATATATATATATATATATATATATATATAATGAACCTTGATTGATGTTGACTCAGACAATCGTCTGTCTGTTGCAGTTATTTGTTTGTTTGTTTGGGTATTTTACCAGTTTCTCGTTGTCTGTGTTCCTCTCATTATTTCTCATATTTTTTTCTTGCCTTCGTTTCTTGCAGGAGTCCAACCCTTGGTGGCAGGTGACCCTTGTAAAGCCCCTTCACGTTGAATCTGTTGAGATCACCGAAAACATTGACTGCTGTCCACGAGATAAAGGAATACTTAACATTAACGTATCTACAGATGAAACCAGTTTACCATCTTGTACCAAGTCCGTATCCTATGGGAAATCGTGGGATTATAAAGTACGCTGTTCTCCTCCGGCGCGGGGACGTTACGTGACATTGAAATTGATTGGTAACAATGTCACGCTAGTTCTTTGCCAGGTTGTGATTCGCACAATTGGTAAGTTTCGCCTGTTGCAGTAAATTACCAAAAAATAGAGTTAAATTAAAGTTTATACACAACTGTGGTATCCACGTTACTTCGAAGCTTCCTCTTTCAAAGGAACTGCAGGAGAGAGGTCTCTCACGCAGGTTTGTTTAATACTTGCCACTTCGTTTGGTCAAAAGATAACGGATTAAAATTAAAAAGTTTCTGCTGTGTTACTGTTTACATAGTAAATTTCCGCTCAGTTATCCAGAGAACACACACACTTGCCTATATACTGACAAAATAACAATTTTACAGCTTTGAGGGTAACTTAATGACACTTTGTCGTTCAGAACTTGTATCTTTTCGTAAGCATCTTGCATTTCAAATCTCATTTTTTTTTCATAGCTTGGGTGTGTTTATCTTCGTTCATTTGGCTCCCATCTATCGTTATTTTGTAGAGTTTACCAGGGAAATCCACGGAGTCTGGCGTGATGCATGGTATAACGTTAACTACGACACTAAAAAGGCACCAACTATGCGCGAAAATCCTGCTTTCCGAATTAAACCTCAAAGCCAAATAATCTTGCGAGATTTCGATGCACCGGTTAACGTGGCAGAAAAGTACATTCAACGTTTGACTGGTTACTTACAGGTGCGTTTTTCACTATAATTGTGAATAAAAGTCATCAACCAACTCTGGGAAATCGTCTCGAGAGTCAATAACGGTCTTTCAATGTAGTAACGGTTGAAATGACTGCTTCACCCTTAGTATTTCGTGGAAAGTCAACGAACAAAAATTGCACAACAGAAAAATCTAAGGTGGGAATTTCGAATATATTACCTCAACGAATATAGAGGTGGAAAAAGTGCACTCGCTTCTCCATAAATTCCATCTGCGTACTGGAACTCGTAGAAAATCGCGTGACTTAGAATGAGTGGCAGAACAGCGCGACAGCAAAATAGCTCATCAGAAAAAAGTATTCGAAGATGCAATTTTGTGTAACCTTGGGTTATTCTGTGTCTTTCCTTTTATAATTTAGAAATTGAATTTATTCTTTTACAGGCTCCTGAAAGTGGCAATTACACATTTTACGTGTCATGCGATGATTTATGTGAACTATGGATGCACGATGTTACTGAGGAAGGCATTGAAAGTTTTGACAAGAAGTCAGAAAGGACTGTTTCAAAGCAGCCAATCATTACCGTTGAAAGATGGACTGACCACCATCAATGGGACAAGTAAGACAAGTAAAAGAATAATTGATACGGTTGGGGTCGCTTAAAACTTGAACGTGCATCCTGGTACGTTCAAAGATATTCGGGGAAACCATTTCGACAGATTTTTGAAACGCTCAAAGAAAAGGAGCATTACTGCTGTTCAGATTCACACAAAGAAACCGCCACAAGCTTTTTAGGAATATACCACAAGGTTTCTGGCTGTTCTTCTTTTTATATCACGCTTTTTTGTTGTTTTTGTTGTCTTTTTTTTCAGGTATAAAGACCAGCAAACATCGCAACCAGTCTATTTGGAAAAATGCCGCATTTACCAAATGGAGGTCTTTATGAGTGAAATAGCAGGCCTTGACCACGTATCTTTGGGCATGCGTAGACCAAATGGTGAATATGAAAGACCTATTCCAGGAAGAAGACTATTTTGGACTAAACCAGGTATGACTTGCGCTTATGTCGTAAGATATATCAGCTGTCATGGCCGGGAGGCAAGAGTCATTCAGAATCGTAGTGGAGCTATCATTAAATTCTTTACTGTTTTTTTAATTGTGATAGGGACACGCAGGCTAGAATTAACACTCGACAATCACGAAACATCTATATCAGGCTTTGTTGGTTCGGAATTGCGCATTTCGGGTGAGTTACACAGGTCTTGCATGTTAATTATGATGCTACATGTACCTTTAAGTTACCAGAGTATTAAAAATTAACCGACCTCTTATCCTCAAATTTTCTTTTTTAACATGAATGACTGTCTTATCATCGTTGGAAAAATCAGCTGACATTATAATTATAATCATTTCTATTACGAAATATTTGTAATATAGGAGTTTTATGATTAGAAAAGTAACTTTACTATTTTCTACAGAAGCTTTGATTGTGAAATAGTAAACCTTTAATGAAAAAGAGTTACCCCTTCATCCAGCTCGGGAGAAAAAGCTAAAAAATTAAGTTGCTCTAATAGACGTCAGACGTGGCACACAATCCTTCTGATTTTTATTCCAAATAGGATTTTTCCAGTTCTGTTGCGATGGTTTGTATTGCCCAAACTGCCCGTTACAACTGGATATCTCAACGCTTGGACAAAATATAACAGTAAATCCAGCAGTGAGCCTGTCTTGTGTGAACACATCCTTCACGGCTGTATTTGACACTATCAAACAGCCAGGGAATTTCACAGTGAAGGTCAGTGCATGTGCGTTATTGACCAAGCGTGAGGTCAAGATGGCTGAATATTGGCCGAATTCTTTGCTCTACGTTTTTTTGGAGTGACACGAAGTAGAGGTACATAAAAATTAAAAAGAAGGACGAGAATTACATGCAGTCATCTTGACCAAACACGCTTTGTCAATTAATGACGTATTATATAGCAAAAGATCTCACTTCAGTACGAATCAAGACTTACTTGATTATTTTTCGGCATAGTAACCAAAGAAACTTTTTCATGTTTTCTCTGTTTTGACTGTCCTCTGTGGTTTTTTGCGATTCCCTACCCAACATTATCCGAAAATTAGGTCAGATGTATAACATTAAAGGCAGATAGCCTGTTTTCATAGACTTAACTCAACTTGAACCTCATTTACAAGGATACGTTATAGCAGTTCGTTAAAATGTGAGCGTCACAATTTAGTAATCGTAAAGTAAAGAGAGTTGCCAAAAATATCTAAGGTATGCTATTTTTTTAAACCTGTCTTAAAAAGATGACTAAAGATAGGGTGTTCCCATGGAGAAAGTTTCCAACAGGCTCTTAACATGTCTGCATATCAAAACAGGTTGCTTCTTCGTTTCCAAGTAATCAGGAGAATATTATCAACCTGAGAGTGTTAGGCCATCTCCATCTTCAAGGTGAATTCCGTTCTTTTTCAACCAGTTGAAGCCATTTTATAGCAGTAAATGGCCCATCTGATTTAAACGTACTACGTTTTCATCGTTGAAAGCAACAATAGTTTGGAATCTTTCATGTTTTGTTCAATTTTGAAACTTCAAGATGCCGCTTTACATTGGCCATGTTTTAATGTCACGGTGCTAAAATGAGTTCTACTTCACGCTTAACTCTTCTCTCGCCTTGCTCGATCTTTTTCGTATTTGATTTTAAATAGCAATTTTCTGTCGGTTCTAATTTTTAAACATTTTTATCAATTTACTTATCAGCCGTGGTGGTAGAAGATTGCTATTTCCAGTCTGGATATTGCGGATGGGCATACCCTGAGGACATGTCCAGAAAGTGGAAATTGTCCGGTGATAATACCTTTATTAACTATCCAGGTTAGTTTTAAGCAGATAGGGAAATCTCAGAGCTGCAGAGGTCGCGTGGCTTGAAAGGAGCGTAGGAAGAAGGGGGAGGGAGGAGGGTAATTCAAGTTTGCGCCAAAAAATTCGCAAATCTGAAGAAAATAGAAGGTCAAAATATATTTTTAAGTGCTATATGCTTTGTTAGTCTGTCTTCCTTGCCCTATGAGTATGAGCCCGCTGATTCAAAATTAGAGGCCATGCTAGATGCTAATCACTTGCAAACTGTCTGGGGAACTCGTCAGGGAAAATGCAGGGGTGGAAGGAGAGGGAAGGGGAATAACTCGAAAAGAATAACATCCCTTTCAGGAGGAGTAACGATACATTAAGGGCACTGAAACCGGAATAGGCTCAGGCTGTACAGCGGCTGTACGTCTGAAAATCAATTTTGTTTCTTTAACGCTCTCACGATGTTCTTTCCTTAGCAAAGCACTTTACATCGGATACTTCCGATTTTGGCTCAGTTGAAACGCGATAGTTAATCGCAAGTAAATAAGATTCCCCTAATCTTTCCTTACAGGTAGCTTTGCCTATGTCGATTCTTCTTACAAAGCACGGATGGAGAGTCCGATATTACCATGGAAGCCGTTTCACCGATCCGTGGGCTTGTGTTTGCGGTTTAAATATCTTCTGCCTGCTAAGTCAAAGCCGACCCTTAAGGTTTACCTGCGGGATCCAAATAAACGGAATGTGGTGTTAATGTGGCACATGACCGGAAACCACGGTGAAAAATGGTTACCGGCTCAGGTTGCTTGGCCAGGAGCCAAGGGAATTCAAGTAAGAACAGAGAAATGAAGAAGTAATGCCCTCACGTCACTTATTTAATTAAAGCTTGATAGTTCTTCTTGGTGTTACACTTTTAGGTTATATTTGAAGGAGAAGGCGTTCTTGAAAACAAGATCAACGTTGCAATTGATGACATCACCATAACTACTGAGAATTGTTCGCTACGACCCTTCTTTGCACAGCCAGGTGATTCTATATTCATTTCTAGGAAAGGATATCTCAAAAACAAAGGTTTAACATGAATGTTAAAGTTCCTTCTGTTATTTATCTCTGATTTGTTGCCCATGGTTTCAGTGGCAAATGGAATAAATGGAAAATATGGGAGGGGGTGTTCAGGGTGCGAAGAGATTTAAAATAGAAACTAACAGCTTGTTCTAAATTGACAATTCTGAGTTCCTTTCTTTTGTCTCGCTAGGAGCAAAATCGCTATCTTTTTTAAAGTATTAACAGAAACTGCATAACATTAGACGTTACAAAATGACTCATGGCCAAAGGTTGAACATTAAAATGGCTCGCGGTGAATGTTGAAACTGTAAAGTTGACTTTTTTTTCATGCTTCTAGTTCACATTAACAGATTTTTCGTTTGCCCATCATTTCCATTTGTGCGATTTGTTTCATCCTAAATCTGCTGGCCTTTACACGATTAGGTTTCAAGTGTAGCGATGACCAGTTCACCTGCAAGAATGGCGAGTGCGTCAAGAAGAATTTGTTGTGTGATGGCGATTTTGCCTGTAAAGATCATTCAGATGAAGAGAATTGTGAGTGTCCATCCAGTAAGTTCGCTTGTCAAGGAGGAGGATGTCTGCTAGCAACGGCTGTGTGTGACGGTAACGAGGACTGTGCCGAAGGTGACGACGAAAAAAACTGTCGTGAGTGGACTTTGTGTATTTAGTCAAATTATCATGATATTAAGATACTATACGGATGGTCTATTTCCATCCCTCAGAAATGTGCATTATTCATTTGACAGGTAATCCATGTCCTTCTAGCCACCAATGCCTTGATGGATCGTGCATTTCTTGGTCAGATACTTGTAGTCAAACACCCTTCTGCAAGGACGCAACTAACACACCATCTGTGTGCGGTAAGTAAGAAACGGGAGTGGAGTGAGCATCAAAAAGTCTTGTCAGAATTAGATAACCGAGTCATTAACAACAAAAGAGGATCTGGCTAGGAGACTGAACTTTCCGGCCTTGTTTCAGAGTAATTTTTCAAAGCTTTTGCTAATGCTATTATGAGAACCAAAAGTCGTCGTAAAGGTTCTGCGCATGTTGTGCAGGATTTTTTTATCAAGATCTCCCGGGGATTTCCCCAAATCAAAAATAGTCTGAGAGTAATTTCAGAGAGGTCAAAAGAGGAGGTCAGTCACCTACCGCAATACTCTTAAAGGTGTAATTTGCAAAAGTTTGCATATCAAACTTTTTATGATTGTCTGATAATCTCATTGTTTTATGTTTGCCTCTTGTCATTTGGCGATTCATTTAGTTAAAATTTCTGCTCTTTTCACGGTGTCTTGTCTATCAGCAGCTACAAATTTTGCTTGTTGTCTCATCTGTTTGTTTTCTAGGTTCTGGCAGGTGCACTCTTAACGATTTAGCTTGTACCTCCAAAAATACCACAGCCCAAAAGAGATGCAGATCTTTCAGAGGTAGGACAAGAAAAAAGTTTTGAATTAGTTGTAACAAGTTTTTACGCATAACAAGCTATTTTAGCCAGAAGGATTCTTTTCCTTATTCACGCACTGGAAGAAAAATAACCTAGAATGCTTTGAAATCGCTTGCAACAAATGTTTTAGAAAAGGGTCAAATTTTTCTTCGAAATGGGAACAGTAATAACAATTTTACATCAGTCGAGCATTGATTTACCTCACATATAGAAAAATAGAAATCTTTGGTGTTTGTTCCAGATTTTGCTATCAAATTGCTTTTGTGTTTTTGTTGTTGTTGTTGTTGTTTTTATTTTTTTAATCGTGCTTTTGCGTTGTCCGCTGGTCCTGTCAGGTATCTGCAACTTTCAAACAGGCCGCTGTGGATTAAAGCCTGACAAGAATGCTACTTTTCAATGGACCGTGGGCTCTGGCCAGACGCTAACGGAAAGAACTGGGCCGAGTTATGATCACACATCGTTCAGCGAGGATGGTAAGACAGTCCTTGAACAGAAATCCCTGCAGCCAGGAAAGCTTCAATAAAGCAACAAGGAGAACTAACGAATACAAATGAAATAACTTTTATCGAAAAAGAAAAAATTAGGTTATAAAAATGACAGGATATAACAATATTTGAAAGAGTTTCTAAAGAAACCAGAGATTGCATCGGTCCTGCTTCATTTCGCTGTGTGATTGGTCCAGAAAACTCGTGCCACCCCTATTAATCAGTGCTTTCAAAGCTGAGGACACACACGATTTCATTTTTAAGGCAACATGTTTGGTCTTCTAAGGGACATATTCCATCGCTCTGATTGGCCACTCTTATCACTTTGGTCTTGGTTTTGGTTCCACGAAACTCAAAAGAAAAGCGTTCTAAAACTCAGCCAAAACACTGCTTATTTTATACGCTGTTAAACTGATAATGAATTGATTCATATAATTGCATTCAAAATTTGAATGACGAAACAGGCACCCAAAATAATCGTGTAATGTATTTTTACAGGTTCTTATATCTATATCGAAGCTTCTCGAAGAAACTTTGGAGACGAGGCAAGATTACTGAGCGACTGGATGGAACCTAATGAAACAGTTTGCGTTAAGTTCTGGTTTCACATGCACGGGCCGGACATTGGTAATCTGAGTATCTACCTCAAAACTAACCAATCAGAAACGCTTGTTTGGATGGTGTCGGGAGATCAAGGAAACCGCTGGAGATTTGGTCAAACGAGTCTGAAAAGCACCCATTGGTCTAAAGTAAGTGTTCAATTTCTCAAAAAATTTTGCAACGAAAAGCCTTTAATCTATATGATTTCTATCAGCACAATTCTCTTATAATAGAGGACGATTGAAATGCATGATCTATGATGCGATCTGATTCAGTAGCTGCTGACTGGTGGCCAACCGAAAGTCTCGTTCTTTGTATGAACATGTTTTCATGGGTTCCTAATTAGAAGGATCTCTTTCATAAGGGTATTCAGTGTACACTGTATCTTAAAAAATTTAGGCAGAGGATAATAACCAGATATCCACTTAATCACATTTTTTCCAACAAGACAAGAAACTTATTTTACTTTCGTCATCGGCTTTTTGAAGCGTTGAAAAGGTCAATCTTTGTTTAGTATCAGTATTGTTATTGTCAGATTGTACTAGAAGGAACAGTTGGTACTGGAAGTAAAGGCGATATTGCAGTAGATGATTTCTCGGTGTTGGACGGAGCATGTGAGAAAATTTTAAAACAAAGTAAGTACATCTAACGAGGTGTTTGCAGACGATCAAATTAGTAATAAAGGCCTCAAGACAAGTTAACTACATTTTTATATGTGATATTCCCGTCCAGTAGTGTTATTTTAAGGAAAAAAGAAACACAAATGGCATCTAAAACCTATTCCTCTTCTTAAACCATCGACAGCGAGTCCAGACTGCTATTTCGAAGGGAGTATGTGCGATTGGCACGTTCATGATGGATGGGTTCTGAATACTCATGTAGCGGGAATGGGAAAGCGAGGTAAGCTGTGAGATCGTGAGTTAGCGCTGACGAAGTATCTGGCGATACTTTCGCCATCTCTGAGAGGTGAGTTTGCCTAACCTTTTCCAATAACTTCGGGAAAAAAATGCAGAATTCTTAAAAGTGTTCTTAGGAAACGACATTATACCCTCGGCAAGTTTCAAAATGGCGCCCTCCATGGCATATTTTTTAGCATATTTAAAGACGACTTTCAAAAATTTGGAATATTCTTTGGAGTCTCAAAATTGGTCAGTGGTAAAAGTTCAGTGTCAAGAGAATAACACTCATTTAACACGACGTCGAATTTTATTGTCAGTAGGATACGCTTCTCTTCCGGCCAGAGTATCAGAACTGTTCTCTTTTCTCTCATCTCCTATCATCAACACAAATGCCTACGAATGGAAATGCCTTCGCTTCTGGTATCTCATCGCCGACATAGCTCACGTTCAAGTTCAACTCTGGAGCAGGACGTCACTAACTGTGTTCTTAAGCAACGCAAAGACGAACAAAACTCAACTGCTTTTTCATGCGGAAGAGGCGACCAACGCATGGCAATATGTACAGCTACCGATACCAATCAACTCAACTCAAATTCAGGTAGTTACTAGTCTCCTTCGCAGCCTCTGTTCTCGTCTCGAAACGCGTTAGTTACCCCACCATTAACAGGCATAACTTGAGGGAGTGGGTCAATAGACCAAGCAATGGCTGCGAAAGAAACTAGAGATTTGCAATTCTCTCTGAAAACTCCAAAGTGATCACGATTTTATGATTTCCACGTGCTTTCTAAGACAGTGTTGCTGGAACTAGAGTGGGTTTAAACCAAATTATGATTTCTTTTCCCCTCAAGACACATCTTTTCATTGTTGTATATACCTAAATCTTATCATAATTGCTTTCTTTTTTATCGACAACAGATTCTGTTTATTGGTATCAAAAGATTCTCTCCTGGACCATTTTTAGCCATCGATGATGTTTCTTTCACCAAAGAACCTTGCAAACTAATTCCTTGGAGTTCTGGTAAAGATAAGGATTACTCTAGATGTCAATTCTTCAAAGTAAAACTGAAGTTCGTGTCACTTAGTTTTTACATTACCGACATTCGCTGTGCCCGTTTACCTCTTACTCCCGCGAATAACCAATTAAAGTAACACTGAGGTGAACTCGTGGGTATTCTGGGCGAAATATGCCAATAGAATGAATGTCATTTTACGAAAAGCCAATGATTTGTGATTCCAAGAGACCGAAATAAGTCGCCATCCCTACGTATGATTTGCATTTCATGAAATATACGTCATTCATGTAGGGGAATGGAGATCTAGATTTTGGGGTTAGATGGCTAAAGGAGGAGAGCCACAATATTTTTGGGACCAAAGCTACATTAGAATGGTCGGAGAAACTGAGATGGTGCATTTGTAGACCTTTTGGGGCTTTATGTTTTAGAGGGCCTGTTTTATCTTGTTGCTCCTTCTTATCGTTACAACTGACTGTACCCCTATACCCCACCCCCCGCCCCCCATGTGTTACTTGATAAAGAGGAGCTTGTAATTTGTGTTTTCTTTCTTCTTTTGACCTCCATAATTTCTTCTAACCATGGCAAACACTGCTAAGGAAGTGCAGAGTATTATCTACAGTGGATCCTTTCCTATTCGTTCTATTTCACTGATGGTCAAATTCCTTTTTAATCCCTAAAAACCATCAGATTGTCAAAAGCCTCTTGGCATGGAGAATGGAGCTATCTCCGACTTACAAATTTCTGCATCTTCGCAATGGGATGCCCATCATGCCCCTCCCCAGGGGAGATTACATTTTAAACGATCAGGCGTTAAACAAGGTTCTTGGTCAGCCAGAGTAAACGACGGTGACCAATGGCTCCAGGTCGATCTGGGAAGTCAGTACACGAAGGTAACGGGAGTAGCAACACAAGGAAGGAATGGTCATCCTCAGTGGGTAAAAAAATACAAGCTGCAGTATAGCGAGGATGGAGTAAGCTTCCAGTATTACAAGGAACCAGCAGATACTGAAGAGAAGGTGAGCTGGACTTTACACATCGCAATTAAAATTCAATTGTCTCTTTCATGAAAAAAAAACAATCAAACAAACAAACATAGACAAACAAACAAAATTACATTTGGTTAAGGGTAGTTTTCTTTGGTTTGATTGTGTTTGGTTCAGCTCAAATCAAGTTAGGTCGAGTCGATATGAGTCGCGTCGGATCGGATAGGCCGCCTCGCGTCGAATCGGGTCGGGACAGTTCGATATGAGCTGGGCCGGGGTGGGATAGGAGCGAAATGGGTCGGGTCGGTTAAGCCTACCTTCTTTTAGCCGGGTTTAGTTTGATTCAGTTCGGAACAGTTCGGGTTAGTCGGGGCGGGTCGAGTCGGTTCGGCTCGGTTTGATTGCGTATAGACGGATTCGGCTCGGCTGAGTTCGATATTGCTGGAATCAATTTTGTTCGTTTGGGCTTGTTTTGTTAGTTTGGACTTGTTCTTTTTCCATTTTGTTCGATTCTATTTTCATTTAAATTACTTCAGGAGAAAATACAATTTAGACAAGATATACGAGCAGTCCTTCAATTAACTGTACTACCATTTTTTCATGAAGGTATTTGATGGAAATACGAATATGGACAGTGTTGTTTTTCATCAAGTTGATCCACCTATCATAGCACGTGTAATCCGCTTTCGACCGATAGCTTGGAAAGGCCACATCTCCATGAGAGTGGAGCTCTATGGCTGTAAAGGTAATGTATATATCGTTTCATGAATCAACACTGTCTGATAATGCACCGTCCTGCACGTAAATCAATAGTGTTTATTCTTCCTTTAGAAAGTTATTATACCGGGAAAACACTCTCGTTTGCCTTCTATTCTATTTTCCTTATGCATCTGATTCTGATAAAACACAAGTCTTTGCATTGGTGACAAAATAACTAGGTAATAACTAGTGATATTAGAAGTAGTAGCAGTGGCAGTGGCACTGGTTGGCATATAGGAAGGCCTCTGTTAACCTTAGCTGAGTTGATCCTCTCCTGAAATCATTAAGCTGACAGCTCCTGTGACATATCGCAAGATTGGTGTGGATGGAAAAGCATTCATGGCTGGAAGCGACTCAAACACAACGAGCTTGACCATGTCTATCAGGACAAAGGTGGTGATACCAACAATGACGAACAAGGCGGTGTTGCTGACTCAGACGACTCAACTGGTTTTGGTGGGTAAAATTTTTAATGGCTGTGAATATATAAAAATCATACAACTCTCAACCAGCTGTTAGGGCACCTCACCGGAGATATAGCAGAGGTCATGGGTTCAACTCCCATACCGACCAGAATTTGATTCATAATTTTTAATGCATGGTATGTATACATAACTCTTCATTAAATTTTCTCATATCTATTTCCTCTTTGCTGTTTGGGAACACTGAACTCACGAACTCACGTAGCATATGCTATTTTAACATAATCCATTCAGAAGCATATAACGAGTTTATATGCTTCTGAATCCAAGACTGAAGAAAATCCTCAGAAAAAAAAACAGCAAAAAGTTTTGTTTTTCTTGGCTAATTGAAATAATTTTGTGTCAGCACGCTAACGTCTGAGTGTAGACTTCAAAAAAAGGATATTTGTCTTTTGACGTAATCCTTGTGCTTAACCTAACCTCCTAAGTGGAACTGTATTGAAAAGAAGTTAGATATAAATCCCGCATACCTTTCTCTCATTCCACTATATCCTATAGGAAAGTTACATCTGTATATGGCTGCTGTTTTGAAATTCTTGTTTTAATATCACAGGACTTTTTGATCCAGAAAACTACGAGATTCAGCTTCCTGATTTTGATCTCGGCTATGTGTCATTCTCTGGTATTTCACCCCTCCTGAGGGGTTTCACGCTCTGCTTTTGGATAAAGACCACTCACGATGGTTTTTTCATCGAATATAAAGTCCCCCGGGAGCAAGGTGAATCGCTGCAATTGGGATGCTACGTCGGTAACGAAACCATAAAATTACAGCTGAAAAACACGAGGAGGTGCGGGACAAAATATTATATGTATACATTGTTGCCTTAAAGGGCTGATAAAAGGAGTTAGGGTAAACCTCGAACGAGGCAAAACAAAACTTCAGGTTTAATAGGCAGAACAATAGCTCTGCAAGTGCGTTGTAAGAATCTTTACATTGCCGTGTTCAGCCAAACAAGAACGAGAAATTCCCGAGTTCCAGCTGTCTGAGAAGTGATTAACTGTCAACAAATTAATCCTGTTTCTATTTGTAACTCAGTGCTGCGTTTGCGTAGAGTACCGGAGATGAGGCTTGGCGCGCGGCTAGAGGTGGACACAGTGCCATTTGTGAAACTCTTCAGACAAATTCAAGTTCATTTTTCTATTCCTCATTACCTTGACACCACCCCTGAGAGTGCTCAAGGTCCTAATATCTCAAGAACCGCGTTTACACGCTGCCTGAAGCGGGTTGTATCAAAAGGGTAGAGAAAAAGTAATGATTCGACATAATTAGGCACACTATCATACCCTCTACCGTGAAGAAGATAGAGGGGAGACGGGGAGAACTCACTGATAGATTCCTATACCACAACTGATAACTACCACAATTTATCCCCAAATGGTTGGCTCTAACCAAGGGAATATCAACCAGTTGATATTCTCTTACTCTAACTGAATGATTATATTTGAATTTTTTTCATAGCAAAATATCGACAGGCGTGGCAGATGACATGTGGCACCACGTGTGTGTATTGTTGAATAACCACGTAGGGCTGATGGAGGTGTTCAAAGATGGCGAGAGAAAATATAGTTCATTTGGACTTCAATTTTTTTTTCAGATTGAAGGTACACAGTACTTATGGTAGAGAAATCGTCTGCATCTCACTCAATAACGTCAGCAACAGTGTTATTTCTTTGTCACTAGTTGATTTTTGTTTTGCATTTTTAAACTCCTTCTTTCTCGGAGTTAGTCGACTTTGAGAAAGGGTGCAGAAACATAAACGCGGATGTACATATGGCTTTGCGATATAATAATTAAGTAATAAATGAGCGAAGAAAATATTTCATGTAGAGCTCATTCGTGCAACGGCGAATTCGACCAAGGATAATGCTACAAGGGGTCAATAAGAAACTAAAGTAAAACCAAGTAAACTGCCTGAAGTGCGGGAAATCCTGAGTGACCGATCTGAGAGGGTACGGACGGTGCCAATCTCCTGGATCGGTCACAGATTGTAATGAGGCAAACCAACGCAATTCTGGATTTCTTTCGACACTCATAGACTTCATTCGTCTTAACTGATACAATGATACAAGTTTATGATGAAAAGGAAACTCCCGAGGTTATCCCTATAATTAAAGCAGACATTAAAATGAAATCTCTTTGTTATCACATAATTTCATAGTGTTTCTCAATCTTTCCCTCGCAGGAGGAGGAACCATGACTATCGGGTTTAGAAATTCTAGTGAGAATGCGTCAATTGCTTTGGGTGCATTAAGTGGATTCAATCTTTGGGGTCATGCAATGCCCGTTGAGGAAATACTGCGCATGTCATTTGGATGTAACAGTGAAGAAGGTGACGTGAAGGCATGGAAAACGGTCAGAAATGGGTTGCAGAAAGAAGTGGCGGTAAAATGGTTTCGAACCTGCAGAGATAGAGGAGGCAAGTTATTGGTAAAGCTATTAGCAGCAGCCCCTAGTTCATTGTTCTCAAGTCTGAATAATAAATGAGTCCTTTAGGTAACCACTTGCCCGCATAACTAATGATTTTTGAGGAAGTTTTGATAGCGGTGAAGCCACAAAATGAAATAGTTTCTCAATTAAAACGCCGTCGTTCGTTTTTTTTCGGTCACACCCCTTTTATTTTAGGATCGATTTACGGGACTTCTAAACACGCCAGCAAAACATTTGCCTCTTGAACATCCTTAGATTGATGTAAACACTCTACCTTGAGTTCTTACTGGGCGGGTAAATTGACTCTCACGGTGACTCGGTTTATGACTCAGATGATTTCAATGATGATGGCTTCCGCTAAGGTTGTCCAAACGTCAGTCACCACCACCGACAAAAGACCTTTCCAGGACTGCTTGGTATTTTTTTTCCGGATAGGTGAATGAAAATCATTTGCAATGCAAAATAGTCTCAATTGTATTCCTAATGCAGGTGGCCGACTTTTAGTGGATACCAACGTCACCAACTTCAACCAGTCCGCTATTCTTGTGAGCCCACTATACAATAGATCACGTGACTGGTATGGTGATTGCCTAAAATTTCGTTATATGCTACGTGGGCCTGGGAAGAAGACACTTTCAATCTATTGGAAGACAAAAACCTACCGTGAAATTCCAATCTGGATTTCGAATCGCAACACCGGCAGGAACTGGCTTTATGGACAAGTTCCTTTGAACTCTCTTTCTGAGTTTCAGGTATTTATGCAGGAAAAAGGTAAATGAGAGCCAGATTGGCCTGGTTCCTTCCGGTCCTCAGATTTATCTCCCAAGATGTCATTCCTTGTAAAGGACAATATAAACATGTTCCTCTCGAGAAGAAAAGATTTTTGTGTCCACGGTTTAAAAAAGGGGCAAGGGTTTCCAGGTTTTAAGCATAGAAAAGTATGAGAAAACATTTTTTTGACTCAACCAGTCGTTCATACTTTCCTTAGAAAAATTTCTTTTCTGTAGCGTGGAGTACAGTTCCTTGCTTCGCAATTTCCGCCATTTTCATGTCTGCTTTTTTTTTAATTGTTTGCGAATAACAAGTTGGTGACCGACCATTATTGTGACTTTTTTCTTCTCCCTTTTTTGCTATCGTCTAATGCAAAAAACAGGTGTCGATACAAGGTAAAACAGAGACAAGGGAAGACTTGATAGCATTAACAGGACTGTACATTGAGGAGGGAAACCGTTGTGAAGAAAAACCTTGGTCAGCGAAAAGCGGTAAAGTTCTAATAGAAGCATTCGTTAAGTGTACTTAATCTCAGTCACATTGTGGGGAAAAATTTTGGGAAAGGATGGAAATTGAAAAGGGGTCACTTCCCATTTTTGCCTTGTCGACTTTTCAGAGGAAAAAGGAAAATTTACGGAGGTCGTCCTCTGCCAAAATTTGAAAAAAGGTTCGATTCCTAAACCTTGCATCACAGAGGGGTTGAAGTTGATGTTGATCCTCCGCTACGCTTCGCACGTTTAAACAAAATATGTCCAATTTTTTATTGAACGTGGGAGTGACTCTCGAAAATTTTCTCATTAGTAGCAATCAATAAATTTTTTACTTTGGTTTTAAGGAAAATACAAACTTTATTTATTCTCATCAACTTACAACTCTTTCATCTTGTTTCAGCCTGTAGCGAAACATTGACCAACAAGTCAGGATATTTCTTCTCGCCTTCATACCCAGGACACTCTCCTTATGACATTCTCTGTAGTTGGGTTATTGCCGTCCCACCCCGTCATATAATTAATTTGCAGTTCCAAGAATTCAGACTCAGAGATCACCCCACGTGTGATAAATGTTTTGTGGAAGTTTTTGACGGAAGTGAGAGGACATCCTTGGGCAAGTTCTGCGGCTATTTGTTCCCTCCAAATTTCCTATCTTCCTCGAATCATTTAACAGTCGTCTTGAGCTGCCAAGGAAATTTGCCTTTAGCCCGATTCAAGGCCTTGTACCACTCTGTTTCAGGTACATGAAAATTATATTATGGCTTTATATTATATTATAGCGTTTTTGTTGTTATTCTGTTGGCAATCTGTTAAGTTGCTTAATTCTACAGGTGCCGTCTTTAACAAAAATGAGTTTCAAAGTTTTGAGATGAAATTTTTTATTAAGTCAGCTGTATAAGTTAAGATGTTTTCTTAGGATGGCGTAGATTGATGTTAAAGGTAATTACTTTCCCATGAAGATTACCAGGAGTATTTTATAGCTAGAGCTGCTGGCTCGCTTCTGTAAGCCATTTTATTTCTTTTCAGAACCTTGTGTCAGGAATTGATTAAAATTGTTTTCTTAATTTTCCAGCCAACGACAATGACGGACTTTCCTGTTCACGTCAGCAAGGTAAACAACCATGAGACCTACTACTTAATCTATTTTCTAATTAAATGGTTTGTTGGTTTTTACTGATAATAGTGCTATCGTTTGCTTTAGGTTGTCCGTCGAGCTGCAAATGTGAAGATTTCAGCTATGACAAAGACAAGAGGATTCAAGTAACTGGGGTAGACTTGCTCAGTGTTCCAAGAAATCTTCCCTCCAATACTGGAGCTGTGTAAGCAATGAAAAACTCTGCGAATATATAGTTCTGTTGTATTTCTCAACCTGGTGATACCATCTTTTTTTTGTCGCTTTTCTCAGTAAGCTGTTTTGATATTTTTTTTTAATGATTACATTCTCTATACGTATTTGCTGCAAGTATCATATTTTTCTCAAGGTTTTTCAAGAATAATCGGATATCCCAGTTGCAGGAAAAGGCCTTTTCAGATCTTAAAAAGCTGGAATATATGTAAGTATATTCCTCATGGGTTGATCAAAAAGTAAAAAGTTTCCGGCTGGATTTCTTCCAGCCAAGGGTTTAATAAACTGGCTGTAGAATTTAACAAACTGATAATGTTTGTTTTTTTTTTCTAGTGACATGAGTTTCAATATTCTACTTCGCCTCAGTGAAAACTGCTTTCAAAATGTCTCATCCGTCAAAACAATGTAAGTATGATCACGCCTTGTCAAGCTGTATGTCGCTAATGAAAAAGTCGAGTTTCTGAATACTTCATCTCAAGATCAGTTGTCATGTTTGTCTTATTTCTCAGTTTGTTTTTTTGTTTGTTTTTTTTCAATTCGGGTTGAAAATCGGGAAAAAGCACTCATGAAAATTTTGTAGTGAGATGTCCGACGTGCAACTTGAAACCATTAATAAATGGTCTCAATGCTCTTCTTTATACCTTAAAAAAAATTCCTTCAATGAAAGAAAGAACAAGGTTCCCAGTGTTGGTTAAATAGCTTGAGTATCTTACGCAGACGGTAGGCGCTAGTAGTCTCTTCAGGAACTTTATTTTACTCCATAAGCTTTCGTAAGGGATTGGCTCTAAGGCTAGTATCAGATGGTTTTGAAACTGAATTTAATAATATACCTTTTTTCCAGGCGACTAAACTCCAATTTTTTAAGATCTCTTCCCGACGGAGTTTTCCATGGAATTCCTAATCTACTTGTTCTGTGAGTATTTGTGTGACCTATAAATCTGGCGCTCATTGCGCTTTTGCCAATGTAGATCGACTTTAATCACATTGATTAGTTAAAGTAATGAAAGCCAGTTGGAAATAAAAAATTCCTCTATTGAGCCAGAGGAAAGGAAAACAACTAAGTTTTATCTATGTGTCTGATTGGCTGAGAGGATGGCACAAATCTTGCCGACAGTCACAGAACTTACAGAACGGCAATCTCGCATTCCTCTTCATAACTTGAATGTCAGTGGACACCAATGTGATTTGTTTCAGTGATTTGGGAAAAAACCTTCTACGAAAACCAATGAAAAGAATGCTGGACGGACTATCAAGTATAGAAGTTTTGTAAGTATTATATTCTAAACAAAAAGTAACCCAAATAAATTTTGAAATTGTCATTTTTCTCATGAAACTAATTATTTAAAAAAAGAGACAGCCTTTATCAGAATTTTTTTCACTTACAGGGGCTTGCGTTCAAATCAGATTGAGCGAATGGAATATGGTGTTTTTGAAAACAAAAGCAATATGACTCATTTGTAAGTATAGTTTTCCTTCTTTCATTTTCAGATAACCTCTGCTCTATCAAATAGAAATCTTTTTGGGTTTTGGCCAGTAATGATCTATACAGTTTCTTAGGGACACGACTTGATATGTTGTTGAAACATGCTTCAAGTTTTTCTTTACAAAGAAATATAGGCCATAAAGTTAAAAAAAATATCCAGGGATTTTTCTTTTAGGGGCGGGTCATGCACTAGTGAAAAAAAAATCAGCGTTTATTGTGTAGAATAAAAAACAAATGATTTGGAATTGCATATTTTCAATCAGATACCTCCAGAACAACAAGTTAACAACACTACCAGAGGGCCTGTTTGAAGATCTTTCAAAGCTGAAAGTATTGTAAGTATTGCCATCCAAGTTGCAGTGTTCAATAAAGAAATAAATATATCATGATAAAAGAAGGGATAATAATTCGGGACCTTTTTTGCGCAATCCTGGTAATTAATGTTTTCGAAAAGTTTTTCTCTTTTTACATGCTACTTTTACGTTCAAGAACGAGAGATCAATAATTCTGAAATTAAAACAGGGAAAATGTTAGGAAAAGAAACAGATTTGGCTAGTTTTTCAGCTAAGATCTGTACTGATACGATGCCTTAGATTTAAATTTTATGAGATTGCTTAGCACCTATAAAGTCTCCGGTACTTTCGAGAAACAGACACGGCCTTGGAAAAGTCTCCGGCGGAATTAGAAACTCCTAACTCCTGAGATTCAGTATGAAATTAATTATTTTTGTGTATGTTAATTGGGGGAGTTTGGCGTTACATCCTTCAGCTGATAGTTATCTAGATTCCTGCCTCTAACATACTTAATTTTGCATGGATATGGGTGGAATAATTTACACATCAATCAAGACACGAAGCTAAAGTGTTAGGGAAAATATATAATGGTAAAACCAACTGATGACGGGAGATGTTCACAAAGAGGAACAACTTTCAATACGAAATTATCTCCTGCAATGTTTGAATAACAAAAGGCGAGTTTTCGCTGGAAGTAGCGTAAAGATCGATTTTATAGTCTTATCTTCCCTTGAGCAGCTGAAATCTAAACAGTTTCCAGTACGTTGTTCTCAGCGTACTACGTTTATTTAAATAGTCAGTTAAAACTCAAGTGAGAACCATTTAGATCCTCATCAATTTTCTGAGATTATTCTCAACTTGGTTATTATTCTTAATGCGCTTTTTCTCAGAGACCTAAGTGGTAACAAGCTAACAACAGTCACAAAGGGAACTTTCAAAGGACTCAAGTCTTTGGAACATTTGTGAGTAGACCGTTTGCTAATTTCTGTACTTCGAGCTCATAAGTTTGTGTATAAGATATTTTAGTTGTAAGCTTGAAATTTGTCTTAAATCAAATCTTTCATTTGCTTATAATTTCTCTTCCCTTATTCTTTGTTCTCTGTTCTGACAGGTATCTCGACAATAATAAACTATCCGATGTACCTTCCGATGCATTCAGTGAACTTGGAAACTTGGAGTATTTGTGAGTATTTATTTACACTTTTTGACGTATTAGCTTGTTTTATTTAAGTGAATGCCAATTTCAGCTAATCAGATCAAAGGAAACACCGAAATGAGCCCAAGGGAACTGAAGAAAACACACGCCTAGGGCGCCCAGCGCGTGAAATTTCTGTGCTCCTGAATGACTGAGGAGGTGGTGCAGATTTCCTTAACCAATTAAGAGCAACATAAAACAATACCCGTGCAATTCTGGTTTGCTTTCGACTCGTAATCAAAATTCCTCCGGGGAAAGAGAGAGGCAGATTGTGAATTCGTACTTACAACGGAATATTTTCGTTTAGGAAACTCGACCGCTTCATTTTGTGTTGCTACGCTAAGAAATCAATTGCAGGAGTTGATTGCAATTCTCCAGTCGATGAATTTTCCAGCTGTGACGACCTCATGAAAAACAAACCAGTTCAGGTTTGTATCTGGATTCTTGGAATGCTCGCTTTCCTTGGAAACCTACTTGTTATTCTATGGCGTACTATTGATAAAGAGGAGAACAGGGTTCAGTCCTGTCTGCTGACTAACTTGGCCGCTGCTGATCTGTTGATGGGCGTGTATCTATTAACTATCGCTATTATGGACTTGAGATGGCAAGGGGAGTACTTTAAGCATGACATCGAATGGAGATCTGGCATGGGTTGCCAAATGGTCGGAGCTCTTTCGATGCTTTCCAGTGAAGTGTCTGTCCTGATTCTCACCATTATAACCATAGACCGACTAATATGCATCGTCTTCCCGTTCAAGTTTAAGCGACTTACTTACAAAACCGCCCTCCTTTCCTGCATGGGTGTATGGATATTTGGCATAGTCATATCTGTGATTCCTATCACCGGAATAAATTACTTTTATGATGAAAGCGGAGATTTCGGCTTCTATAGTCGCTCTGCTGTTTGCCTTCCTCTTCAGCTTTCAGAGGGTACACCTGCTGGTTGGGAATACTCCGTGACAATCTTTGTTTGCCTCAACTTCATTTCCTTCACATTTATCCTCGTCGCGTATACGGCGATGTTTTGGACGGTAAAGTGGGCTGCACGTGCAGCGCGATCGACGAATTTCAAAAAAGAATCTGCGATGGCCAAGAGACTTGTTTTCATCGTGATGACAGACTTCTGCTGTTGGATGCCAATCATTATAATCAATGTTTTATCTCTGACTGGAAATTTTGAGGATCCAAACAAAATCGCTTACGTATGGATTGCAGTATTTGTTCTTCCGTTGAACTCTTCCCTGAATCCAATCCTGTATACATTTTCCACCCAGCGAACAAAACGTAGCTTAACCAAAAGAAGAAAAAATGTCACCGGTATGGTCATGAAGACATTAAACTACCGTATGCCAGGTGAGTAATGACAATTATCGGTAAAAGAAATCCCTATGTAATTTAACCTTAGGTTGTTCCAGTCACCCAAATGGTGCGGTTGAGCTGAATCTATCATCACCTATTATCCCTCTCCCGGTTACTAAGAAAAGCCAGCCAGTTGAGTGGTAATGCGCAATCTTGTCGTTTCCAAAACTTTGGTGTCAGACAGATTGTAAAAAAAAAAAAAGTACAGGTATGGTAAATAGTGTAGGTCTGAACCTCAGACCTCTCAGTTGCCTAAGGTTTATATCTAATCTCAGGTCGGAAGCAAACAGTCGATTGGTTGAAAACATCAGATGATGCGACTTTGGTTTCCAGTGTCATCGCCTATTCCAGTCCACTGCCATCACAAATGACAGAAAAACATGAATGTAAACATACCGTGCACGCTAAACTAAAGCTGATTGAAGAGGTGGATATTCTGCAAGACGACACTGCTGGAAAACCTGCCACTGTAAGTTACAAAATTACAACCTATGATTTCAAAATTTACTATCTCTCTTAGCCTATGAACTTAAAAGAGGCTTTCGGCGTGGCTTTTCCTGGCAGTATATAATACGCGTGTTACATGTAGACCTGTAATGTCTTAACTCATCAGTCTCCGCTTAGGAGCGTTAAATCCGAAGGTGTGTGGTTCGATTCATCATTGATACTCAGAATTTTTCTTTTTCCCACATCCGAGACAAAACGAATTAACTTCTTGCCTTAAACTTCGATTTTTAAAAAAAAATCTAACTTATCCGTGCGAAGGTAATTAAGATAGTCTGTCAACCAGTCTCCCTGTCGGACTAGTTAGTCATTGACTGGTTGAACAATCTTTTCGAGAGAACTGGTAAGAGCACTGTACTAGTTAGAAAGGTCTGGGTTCGAGTCTGGCGGGGTCACTGAGACGAGTGAAAGACAACAGACTATCGTATGCAACTCCTCTGTCCACTCAGGAGTATAAATAAGTCCTGGCGAACTTACAGAGAGACTTGACTTTAAGACTATATGGTGAACTGGGAGGGGAAGGGAGGTTTTCAGGATTCAGGAGGACTGGCAATACTCACCTTCACTTCATGCTCTTGTGAACTGAGGAAAGCTTTGACAGTTATGGGTCAACTTATTAGCATAAGATTTAACCATCCAAACTCATCTTTGCTGTTACAGGGTTACGCTGTAGCATGGTCTGAGGAAGGAGACATTTTAAACATGGTGTTACTGAAGTATTTCGCAAAAGAACACAAACAAGACTGGATTCGTGAAGTAGATGTGGCAAAACGCCTGTGTAATGATAGTGAAGAATTACCTGTCCTTCTCAATTACCGTTGGCATTCTAAAGGCGAGTGAATGGAAGATCCTTCATACTTTGTCCTTTGAACAGAAATATGTAGTGCTAGAATAATTAGCTTTGCTAAACAAATGGAAATGTCAGTAAGAAAGAAAGAAATTGGACACAATCATAGGCCATTTAGACGTTTCAATTGCCTGTTTAGCTTCTTAAGCTCCATTTAGAACGTTTTTAATAAATGAAAACCTCTCACTAACCGAGTTCGAGATCCGTACGGTAAGTTACGTGACCGGGATTCCGTGTCCGCACAGATCGAGAAAACGAGGTTAGAAAGATATTCATTATGTTTCTGGGTTCAAACAAAGGAAAGACTTTGATTGAAACCGGCAAAGTTTTGTATTCAACGGGCCGTACAGGAAATTACAGCCCACTAAATTGACCAATCCTAGCGCACTTACTAAATTAGAAAAGTGATTGTATAGGATAGCTGCTGTTCTTTTCTGTAAATAAAGCAATAGCTCTTTTCGCCCAGGTTTCATTAGGGAAGGGTAAAAATGGAAGTAGACACGATTCAAAATAGATGTACAACAAATGAGTCCAAATTACAAAGGATCAAATTCATTCCCCAATATTATATCTTTTTTTAATTCATTTTCGTCAAAAAATTGTGAGTTAATAAAGTATCCCCAGTTACTCAAATATAGCTGCTTTCCATCCATGGAGTGTTCTTTCGATCAGCTCGTCTAGTACTTTTTGTCAGTCATTTTTCTTTCCATTATTCAATATTTCCTCTTGCGCATTTTTTTTTTTTTTATTAAAAGTAAGGTTTCTAATCCTTCTTTGCAGCCCGTGACCATAATATCGAACACGGGAAAGTGAAGATCCGCGAGTTACAATCGAACAGTTTGTAAGTAAACAATATTTCATTTGAAAGAAATTGAAAAAGTGAGCATTTTGTTTTCTACTAATTTCAAAAAAAAATTATTTCGTTTTGCTTCAGACTTATTTGCTACGATTTTGTGTCGAGTTCGACATTACAAGATTTTCTTTGCGACAAAGGAACTGTCCTCAACTTTGATGCGGTTTGTGCCATCGCCTGTGACATCATCAGCGCTATAGAGCGACTACAGGAACTTGGGATTGTCCATAACAACGTGACAACAAGCAATATTTTGATCAGTCATTGCTTAAGGGTAAAATAAACCTTACGCGTTTTTGTGACTATCAAAATTTTGTTCGATATTGGAGAGAGGGTTTGTGAGGGCAAAATGTCTTGCCTAAGAATTCATGTGATCTGTCCGGTGCTCGATCTCGGACATTTTGATCCGAAATACCAGTATTTTACAAATTAAAATGATCGAGCAGTTGTTATGAATCATCATAAAATTCAGAATATTTATTGAGCTAAAAACGTTTGTTACATAAAATTTCCTTTTAAAATGAAATGGGACAACACCAAATATTTTTGCGGTGAAATATTTCGATCTATTTAGTTTCGAGCCATAAATAAACGGGGGAACCCTTTCATTCTGAAAGGGTGTTACTTTTAACGAAACGGTCTGGTGTACGGCCCTGAGAGATGCAAACCGCAAGAAAGGAAGAAAGCGAAAGAGCGGTGGTCTTATAATAAAATACGAATAGACTGAGTTAGGTGTGAATCTCGAGCGAAATATTTTCCCATTTAACCCTCGACCTCAGTCAGCAAAAATATATATATATGTAATCGATTATTTTCAGCTTCCCCCTGTTAGAGCAGTCTTGGGTGGACTGTCTCGAGCGTCCAAGGAGAACGAACCTGGTTCGTTTGCAAACTGGGGAGCAGATGAGCAGAGTGATCATGGCAAGGATATTGAGCAGTTCGGACAGTTGATAGCTACCTTATTAGGACACTGTCATGGGTCCAGTGAATACATTCAGGTAAGGTTCTTAATTAAAGGCTCGATAAGGAGCCGCTGATCAGTATATGAGCCGACAATCCTCTTCTCTCTTCTTTGGATGGAAAGAAGATCGCATTCGAGAGGTAGCGAAGATCTAGTGACAAATGAAATAAAAGGAAGGAAGATGGAAGGGGGAAGGGGTGGGGTTTGCGGAAAGTTTTAATTCTGAGAACTGAGAAAATCTTTCATAGAAAAGAGACATTCATCGTCTTAGATATTTAAGAAATGGGAAAGATTTCGTATAATACGAAAGGAATTGATATCATCCGTTGTTTCTGATGTCATATATATATGTATTTTGGTGCTCGATTTCATGTGAACTTAAATAAAATATTAAGAAAATTGTTAAATTAGTTGCATAGTCAGCTTACTATGATCAGTGAATCAGCCTAGGCTATTTTTGGCCGTTTTTGGTATCTTTAATTTACGATATAATGACATAGCGTTGTTTTGCATCTCATTAATAATTGCACGTCGCTACATGCTACATTCTATTACAATGTAGAGCACGTTTCATTGAGTTCCGCTTCATTGCACGCTAAATGTGCTGTACTGTATCACGCCAAACTATGTTGTGCTACACTATCATACTCGTTATATTGCATTGCAATGTTCTACGCGGCATCGCGTTGCTTTAACCCACCAGGACATCTATAGCATTCCCCAGCAGTGTTTGAAATTTAGATATTAAAACCTCGCATGACTCAAAGCCACATGGCCATGAAAAGAATGGCCATTACTTACATAAAAGTTTTTGTTTCTTCAAAATGAAAAAAAATTATTAGTTTTCTCATTACTTAAATTGGTTTCTCTGCAGTTGCATGAAATCATGAACCTGTGTTTCGAAGAAACCGCAGAAAACAGACCTAAAGCGTCTTACATCAGGGAAGTGTTGGAAGAGCTTCGGTACTGCGTTGGAGTCTGGGATACGTGTTTATAAATGGAAAGAGCTTAGGACACATTTGTTTTACTGAATACAAATATTATCTCCAGACGGACTAGTCTCATATTATTCTTCTGTAAATATTCATGCTCATTGGATTAAAGCTTATCTTAAAAAAACTGTTCATATATGCAATGCAATAGGTCACACTCAAGCATATTCAATTATTAGATTTGGTACAGCATTGTTTTACCAAATACAAATCTTATCTCCAGACTGACAATATTTGTATTATTTCGTTATAAATATTTACCCACTCGGTAGGATATTCAAAATATTGCAGCTGATTGTAATAAACCATATATGTATCTTTATTGAGTCCTTCAATGACATGTGCATTATTAACGTTTGGGTGCAAAGTGTGTAGGATGCGTATGCATCAAAAGCTCAGAATAAACAGAAGTTTGTTAAATAAATTGTATTGGGAAATCAGTTCACATAAAGACAAGCATATTACAGGGGTTTTTACTTTGATAAGGAATCTATAGACACTATTTACAAAGTACAAAAATGTGGTTAATAAACATTTTTCATTTATGTCATTTTAATGGCTTTGCAAATGATTCCAAAAGCTAATTTGTTTGAGTAAAAAATACAAGACGACTTGTGCAGCCACTCAAATGTTTTGGTCGCATGTGATAACGGAAGGCGAAATTTTGCCTCACTGAAAGGCTTTATGAATTTATTGAGTCAAGTTCATTTTGCTGAAAATAAAAGCGGACACTTGACTTGCATGGTATAAATTATTAGAATCTGACTTCCTCACGCTTATCATTTACTCTTGTTTGTCTTGGAAATGCAACAATTAACCTTTGGAGAAAAATCAGAAAAAAAGTTAGAATCTCACTGAAGATTGCAGCAGTTGATCGCGGGGAAGAGAATTCCCAGAAGAATTTTCGTATGCCTCTTGATGTTGTCGCTTGTGATGTAGATTAGAGCAGACTGCCTGCACGCCTCAAAGTCGATAAGTTGAAGGAGATTAAGTTAGCATTAGGCAGTCGAAACGATCTACGTCAGAAGCGACTAAATCGTAAGAGTAGTAATAATTATTCACGTAATTCTGAGACGTTGTGGCAAGTTTGTGCATATTATCGCGGCGACGGCAAATCTTCCGGCGGAATACCATTGAAAACATGCCAAGAGATGTGAAGTGAATTTAGCTAATTGGACGTTTTGGTGTGTTGTATCCTTAAATATTTTACGAGTTGTGCCGTAGTCGACGAGCCTGTAGGGCGAGTCAGAAGACAAACAAGGGGTTAAAATACTCAGCATTTCTACAAAACAAAGCACCAACTCATTTATTTATGCAATTGATTTATCTTAAATGCATTTCTTGTATGGTGCAAAAAGCGAAGCAATTAATATGAGTGGTATTTGTGCTCTATTTGGTGCACGCGCAGTTGGTTATCAATTTTCAGTATCCAATTGAGTTTCTGAATTTCAAGATATAATGATTAGTAAGAGTTTCGGTATGCTATGCTATTTTTTGTTTCGTGATTACTCACTCATCAGGGGATCTTATTTTATAAATCCCCTAATGAGTGAGTAATCACAAAACAGGCTTGTAGAGATGAAAGTATAGACTCTTTGTTTTTCCCTATCTCAATATATCGCGCTCTACTTCTGCGTATACTAAGCACTGTTCAACGGAAAAATCTAGACACAGACTACCTCTATAAATATATGTATATATATGTATGTATGTATATATGTATATAAAGTGACGACTCTAGGAAAAAGAATTACTTCTAAGACTCAGAAAAATGACACTTTGATCACGTAGGCTAATGGGCGCGTAAGAGCAGAGCACTTTAATTGATTTGTATTAAGTAATGCGATTAAGGAAGAAAGTTTTGGTACTTAACTCGCGGGCGAAAAAAAAAAGGCTTGTCGGGAACATTGTACAGATACTTTGTGAAGCAGACTGAACAAGACAACTTCTTCTACAAGCCTGGTGGCTTTTTTCAGTCTCCTTGTCCTACCACACTGCTGAAATTAAGGTAGGGAATGTCTTTTTTTTCGTTGCTTGTAGCAACATTAACAATTTGGTGGCTATAATTGCCCGACTACATTACGCAAAATTGAATTGTGTCGCACCACCAATTCAGATCTCATCGCATTGCATTACAATCTATGGCATTCTTGAGCATTATTTCTCGCTGCGCTACCTTCCACTAATCATGCAGAGCATTTCTGGTATGGCCAGACAGTGTTTGATTTTGAATGGCAAAACATGGCGTGATTCAAAGCGATAGAAATGACGACTATTTAATAGATAATTGTATTTTGTTTCTTCAAAAAAGAAATAATTAGCTTTACTCCTTTAACTAAAACCTATTTTTCTTCGGTTGCATGAAATCATGAACCTTCGTTTTACTTACATCCGGGAGTTGTTGGAGGAGATTTGGCATTGCGTTGGAGATTGGGATACATATCTATAGATGGAAAAAGCTTGGTAGAGCATTGTTTCACTGAATACAACTCTTATCTCCAGACAGAAAATTCTATATTTATTTCATTGTGAAGTGTATGCTCATTAGATCAAAGCTGATTTTAAAAAATGTAAAATTGAGTACTTCTTTGCCACCCACTGCGAGATTCCAACCAGGCTAACGTGCAAGATGTCTATTTGGAGTCTAGCACTAAAAACGGTAGAACCCTCGAAAACCTCTCGCGCGCTCACATCGCTTGTATAATAGCGTCTACAGGCCGACGTTTTCCATAACCCTTGTAAACATTCTGCAACCACCGTAATAACTCGATTTAGGGCCTTCCTTCCAATAAGCGCTCCCTCTCTAATAAGCGCCCTCCTCGAATTTGTTTTTAACTGATTAAGCGCCCTTATTCTGTCGGTATGCGCCTATATTGAGTAAGCAACCTCATTCCAACGAGAAGCGCTCCTATAATCAGTTTCATTAAAAGCACTATTGGAGTACATCGACATTGAGGTCAACCATGGTCCATCCGGCTTCCTTTAATTGCTCACTTAAGCCTCGCGACAAAAAAAAGTGGTTTTCTTCTCAGTCTGTCAACTGCTATGTCTACGTGAGTGCACAGATCCTTCATACGAAAGATCCTGTCTTAAAAAGTTTGGAAGATTGCTTGGCCAGCTAGTCGTTCTAACAAGGAAGGATGCAGGGAAAACAAGTCTGCTTTCCAGCCTTTTCGATCCTCAGCCAAATGAACTTCCAAATTTTGTTTCACATTCTGCTGTTTCTCAATAAATAAATAAATAAATAATGATAAGCGCCCTCCCTTGAGGTACCACAAGTAAATAAGTGAGAGATCCAGGAGAAACGGAGGGGAATCAGTCGTCGCTAACAGAGTACAAAAAGGGATCATCGGAAATGGACTACCAACGAATCGGGTTCATATCAGGTGAATTTCATCGTGGCACGAACAAAATCCTCCGAACCTCCCTCCCCAGGCGTAAAATAATGACCGGAACCTCTGACGGTTTCATGCACGAATAGTCTTGTTTTTGTAGGCCATTATTTTCACAAATAAAAAGTTAGGAAAATATTTCAAATTATGGTTAGAAGTTAATCGTTTTTGTTGCCACTAAGATCGATATGTTTCTATGTTTCTGTTATATTTATTATTATATTATTTATAAGTCTGGAGGAAAATGAAGCCAAAATAGAGGTTCTCGTTTCTTATAGATGTCAATGTTAATCTATCTAGAAAAATCTATCCCCGAGTGGTTTCATGGTATCTTTAATCATTCATGAAAATTGTAATTGGCAAGGTTTCTTTCTGGTATCTTTAATCATTCATGAAAATTGTAATTGGCAAGGTTTCTTTCTGGAACATAAACTAGAAATTCTTTATAAGCTCTTAGGATTAAACGGAAAATTTACCCTTCAAAACTTGTTTCTTAATCTGAATGTGCTGAGTTTCATCAGCAAATTCGATACATCTTTTGAATGATCATTTTTTTGAAAATATTCAGCTGAAATGTGTTTTGCATGTATTTATTTTACTCTATCAGGTTTTTGGATTATTTTTGTCTTGGGGTTTGAGCTAATTAGCGATGTAAAAACCAATTTAAATTAAGATTCCTCTTCAGGTCATCGAACATTCTCGATTCATTGATCTTATTAAAATATTGTAAACTTTGGGTTTCCTGTATCAATGAGCTTTTCGGAAAATTGGGCTTTTAAAAACAACATTTGCTCGGAATAAACAGATGTCTTGCTAGCCTCTAAATATAGTGCCAAAATAATAATAATAATAATAATAAAAAAAACACAATTGCGACGTACGGCTTATAAAACATCATTGTTTGAAAAATCGACCAAACGCTTCCTTGCGAAAACATTGGATTGCAGTGTTTAATTTTAATGACTCAACGTGGTAACAATTAATGTCGTTGAGATTCCCATTCTTGAAAGATTCGACGACGTTTTTTTCGCATTAGACCGCTTAGAAGTGTAAAAAGTTTTAAAACGCATGTGTGAAGCCATCGTTTTCCTAATTAAAGGTTTCAAATCTTATTTTTACTTTGTTTTTGCCTTTGCTTATTTAAAGGCTCATAATGACATCCAAACATCCTATCACTTGGCGCACTTACGTTCTCAAATCTTGTCGTAAAATAAGTCGCTAACTGCCTAATAAGCTTATCAGTAACCGAATAAGCAGTTGAATATCTTTTTTTTTCCCAACTTCTTAATGTATTTTAAGCGAGTCCTTCTTGCTTTTCAAAAACAGATTATTCAGGATTATATGGACGAAAGCACTCCTTAGTAAAATTTAGTTGTATTCAATCGTTTCGTGGTCGATTTTAAAATTTTAAACATATTCTTTGTTTTGAAACTTTAATTTACATTTCCAGATAATTTACATACATTTGAACACACTCCATTAAAAAAAAAAAAAAGAAAAAAAGATTTTACCTCTCCTGGCCCGATCCTTTTGACATTGGATAAACGCCACAATACGATTTAACACTAGAAAAAAAAATGGTTGACATTTCGACATCACTAACAAATTTTGGCGGATGAGAACTGATAATAAGATGCTTACGTTTTCATCCATTTTCCTTAATTTGTTTTAGGTCGCTAAATCAATTTAGAGAATCCGTCTAGAAATCACCGCGACTAAGATAAAATCTGTACCCTTATTTTCACTTGCATGTGAATTAAAAATTTTTTTGACATACAGCACAGATGCGATGGTTACAGAACTGTAGGTTTAGAAAATTTTATTCATAACTCCACTCAATTTATACAAATAGAAGTATACTCAGTCAAAGGTCTTTACCCTTTTTTATTTCTTTCTTTTCTCTTTCTTTTTTTAACTTTACAAGATTTGAACTTTCCTTTTAGTTCAGTTTTTCGATGAGGGAGCTTGAGCGAATGGCAAAAATAGAACAAACGTACCGGTT